CTTTCCCTCCTGTAGTGAAGAAGCCTTTTTGTATGAAAGAGAGGGAGAGAAAGAGAGAGAGATCTTCCTAATGTGACATGGTCACACCACAGTGGTATTTCCTCCGTTTCCTTATCCCTTTAGGATTTGGACATGCACATACCTTTGTCTGGAGTCTGTTTATTTATTTGCTTGTTTTTCCTCCACTACTGGGGCTGGAATTCGAATTACAGTTAGTCACGTGGGATCTGGCTCCCTATACATAGTGCTTAAACACTGTGCTATGGGGCTGGCTCATGGTCCTCTTTTTTTTTCTTTTTTCCTTTCTATGCCTCTTTTTTTTGTTTTTTTGTGATTTAAAATCATAATCATTATTTTGATATGTTGTAGACTTTTGGACTGAGTAGTGTGCAAGAGCCAGCTTGTAGTGGCTTGCAAGAACTGATTGCTAAATTTTAAAGAATTTGCATGCCCGTTGCCAAAACCATTGATAGCTTATAATTAGTCTTGGTGTGAATATTTACACAATGGAAATCAGCAAATGCTTCCCAATCCCTTGATTTCTTAACCGGTCATTAAACATTTACCAAAACCCCAGCTTTTGGAATATAGAAGAATGCCAGTTCTACCAAATTTTGAAAAGTAACGTGTGCATAAGTTAGTTTTACACTTAAAGTTATTAATGATTTTTAATAAGCATTTTTATTAGCTACATAATATTTTTGATAGATCTCATTATATATAATGACTCTTATGTTGGACACTGCTATGTTGTTGAAAGTTTGTATTCTTTTTGTCTCCATTTTAAATCTTGCTTCACTTAAAATCTTTGTGTACTACTATTGACTGACTCAAAAGGCATGGCTTTTTAAAACGATTTCTTGATAATGTTACTCCTTCCAGAATGCTGTACCAGTTCCATCCAGCTGCAGCGAACCTAAGGTGTGTCTGTATGCACTCACTGGTCTTGAGTATCAAACTTGGCTTTTTGTGTAATTTAAAGTAGAATCTCATTATAGTTTAAATTCTTTATAATAACAAATAAATCAAGGTCCTCATACATGTTAGAGGAGAAAATTAGTTTCTAAAAAAATTTTTTTTAAGAATTATTTATTTAATTTTGTATTATTAGTTGTAAAATTTGACCAGAGAAACACAGAGAAAGGGAAAGTAAGAAAGCAAGCTGCCAGGTCTGGGACTTGAAGTGCAGTCGTGTGGGAGTCCACAGCACCTTAACCACCATGCCACCTGCTAACCTCCTAAAATGGTTTCTGATAATGATTATGTTACTTTGGGTTCACTGCTGATCTGTGGGGAATCTATTTCAAGTCTTTTAAAGTAATATATATGCAAATTCTACATTTGCCTAGATATTTTATTACCATGTTATCTTGGTGATGTTTTTGAGTGTAACATTTTTCTGGGATTTTGACCAAAACCCAGATTATTATCTTCTATTATGGTGTTATGTGGTGTGTTTATTTGGTGATGTTTTAGGTGTTGCTAAATGTAGATCAGAGTTTTACAGGTGTTAAAGCTATTTTGCTGTCTAATTTGAGATGAATTCACTCAAAATGTGTTATCTTATATTCCCAAAGGTATTATTTAGATATTTATATTCTTATATTCCCTCAGTAGAAAGATTGAGCCTGTTCTAAGTAAGTATAGGGTATATAAGAAAATATTTTAGGACAGTCTTTTTAGAAAATTCTTAGAAAGGTAAAATTACTATTAATAGAAACATTTATAGCAGTGTGAGAAAAAAATTTTTTTTGAAAAATTTTATTTTATAATTTCTTATTTATATTTAATCTTTGTATATCTTTATAGCATAAATATGGCTTTTCAAGGAATGCATGTAATGCATGGTAATCAAATTAGCTTTATTTGATTATATATATGATATATATATCACTTTTAAGAGAGAATTTTACATTCTCATGTCTGTTACATTTTTTTTTACTGAACCCCCTCTCCCACCCCTTATTATACACTTCTATACACTTCCCCCCGTATAGTCTCTGGTGTCTAACATGCCATCCCTGTGCTATATCATCAGATCTTTCCATTTCTGCCTTAGAGTGCAGACATTCGCTGTTTATTGAGTGAGAATATACAGTGTTTGTCTTTCATAGCAAAAAAAAAAAATTTATTTTTAAATTGTTTTGACATGTCACGTGTAATGGGACAGGGAATGGTTTTGGATTTTTATTGATCTGCAGGCTCAAGGTGAATTATTTTTTTTTTTAATGCCTGGAGTTTTAGGACTTCAGGGAATAACCAATGAGTTATTTTATATTTTCACAAGAGTTTTTAAACTTCACACTTCAATTATTTTTTATGAAAGTAACACATTCTGCCCTTTTATATAAAGAGAAAGAGAAGCTTATCTCATGTTTATAAATCACTTAATGTTGCTTGTTTTAAATTTCTTAAAAACAGTTTTAAGTTTCTTCTTTTTTTTTTAAGAGAGATTTTTGTGGGACCAGCAGATGGGGTAATGTTTATGTCATTGGACTCCCACGTAGCCACCTGTGGTTTGAATCCCGGACCTGTCAACTTAAACGCATTTGGGTGTGTGTGTGCACGCATGTGCGCCTAAGATCATGAGAGGAGAATGGAGGAGACGGCATTGTGGTGTGACCATGCCCCTTGGGGGTGATTTCTCACTTTCTCTCTGTACCTCTCTGTCTTTCCATGCTCTCTGTAGCGAAAACCTCTCTTCAAGAAAAAGGAGATTTTTTTGCTATAGGGTGCGTGTGCTCACCAGGGACAGAATTTTGGGCACTCATGCACCATATGCCCAGCATTAGTTTTAAACCTTTGGGTCCAGTACTTGAACTTTAATTGATTACATGAGATTCCAGTGACGTAACCATTACGCCATTTACTGGTCCCAGTTTAAGTTTCTTAAAATTTACAGTTTATCATGCTTGGAAAACTCCACTGTCTTCCAGAACTGTTTTTTGCTAAGTCTTGAGTTTTGCCAGTGTGAGTGCTTTTTGGTGCTTGTCATTGCATTATATTGATTGCCAGTCTACGTGTATAGGAAATATAACTAAAGTAATGTGATTGGTTTTTAGGAAAATGCGACCAGGTAAGTATGGCTCCTTTCAAGATAAACCTTGTGCTGAGAAGAACTGTATTATTTTGCATCTTTAACTGTCATGGATTTTTGAACAATAATTTAATTTGCTTTCTGTACCTTTGTTATCTGGCAAAGCCTGGTTATCTTAAGGCAGATTTGATACTTGAAAATTGTCAAAATACATTACGTAGCATTTCTGATGAAGAAGAGGGTAATTGAGCAAGAAAATGTTTACGAGGTCTCGTTGTTTGCTACTATAATGTTATAAGCTATTTGGTGAAAGTAAATTTATAGGCCAGCCCATGGTGTAGTGAGTGATGTGGCTCTGGATCCTACAGGGCTCTCTGTGTGGTTTGAATCCCAGATTTTGGTGGCTTGAAAAACACAGAGAGAGTGTGTGCATGCCCAAAATTCAAAAAGGTAGGAGAAACAGAGGAGAAAGGCTTGTGGATACGTCCATTCCCTGTGGGGCATGCTTTCTCTCTTTCTCTGCATCTTTCTCTAGTGAGTACGTGTGCTCTTTGGCAGAATTTAAAAGAAAAATAAGAAGGAAAGTGATTTTTCTATATACTAGGTGCCCTGTTTAAATGCCAGATTTCATTTATTATTGTCCACTTTGTTGGAAATCTTATTTTCTTTTTAAATACAGTGTGTTTGAGCATGATTCAGCTTTGAATGTCCTGGGGCTTTTTTTTTTTTTTTTGCTAGAGGATCTGTGTGCTTGCCAGACAGAGGGAAAGGTGAAAGCACCAAGCATCGCCCCCCATTGGAATGAGTGTGCATTCACATGTGCTCAGAGTGTTTCTCAGGCCACAGGTCAAGGACTTGAACCACATAGTCATAAGGGATTGTGGTGCCTTAACCACCAGTCTGTGTGGCTGGCCCAGAGCTGATGCTTTGGACATTTTTTTTTTTTTTTAAATTGTATGTACCCTCATGAAGGCTTTTATGAAAACCAAGGTTTTTAGGGCTTTTCTGTGCATACCTTGAAGACTCCTGACTGCTGAACTTTGCTTCTGACTACTTGTGCTTGCTTCACTACCTCGTTCCTAAGAGGTGCCACTTGTTTGTACATTGCTTGTCTGTGACGCCACTTACATCACTTTCCTTTGCCTTTTTGCATTTTGTTCTGTTGCACATTAGAACCACACGTGGCTTGATTCTCAGTGCACGTGTTTCTGTGCTTCTCCCTTCCTGTCTACGTCAGTCACTGTAGGACTTTCTCTAGTTATGGGTGCACAGGCTTTAACTCTGGAGATTCTTATTCAAGGGATTTCTATCTATACTTGAAGGGAATAAAAGTGATTATGAGGTTCATGTAAGCTTGAGAAGCTCATGTCTTGATCAATTTTCTGGGGAAATGAGGTTTTATCACCTGACTTTGCTATTGACTTATGATGTGAATTAGAAGACGCTTTCCACCTCAGAAAGGTTATATGAAGATTTCTGGGTTAACATTAATTCTAAAAATCTTTTTTAGTAAAATATTATTATCTTAGTCCAGTATTTTATAGGATGAATAGGTCATTTCATACTCCTTAGCAATTGAATGAGAGGAGACCACTTTTAATTTTTTCTCTTTATTCTGAAATGTTTTTCCTTTTTCATTCATTCAACAGTTAACTTTGAGTGCCTGTTTTGTGCCATCATCTCTTATCAGATGCTGAAGGAAGAAACTGGGTGTGTTTGTTACAATACTTTAGAAAGTCTGAATAGAAATTGATGATTCAAAGTTAAGCTGAACTCAGGAGAAATGAACTTATTCTGTACATCAGATAGATTATAAACTATGTAGAGAATCCTTTCCCAGCAATTTATTAGTCATCATTGAGTCTCAGAAAAGATTTGGGATTTTGGTATCAAAAATATTTAAGGCCTTGGGAACCAGCAGTTAGCGTAATGGCTATGTCGCTGGACTCCCACGTAGTCGACCGCGCTTCGCGTCCCGGACCCGGTGGCTTAAAACTCAAGCTGGCCGTGTGTGCATGTGTGCCCAAGATCCCGAGAGGAGAATGGAGGAGAAGGGATTGCGGCATGACCATCCCCCCTGGGGGGTGATTTCTCGCTTTCTGTCTCTATGTCTCTCTCTGTCTGTCTGGCAAGCGCACGCGCCCTATAGCAAAAAATAACCTCTAAAAAAATAAAAATTAAAAAATTAAAAAATATTTAAGGCCCACCCTATGGTGCTGTGTGAGTAGGCCCTGCTACTAGAGAGGATGAAGCCACATGAGAGGCCCGGGTTTGATTTCTGGCGCACCCTAAAAGCCAGTGCACTGGGGTGCACCTGTGGTTCCAGCTGCGCTGGAGTTTGAGTTAGGAGGATCGCAACATAATGAGAACTTGTCTTTAAAAATATATATATTAATGATATAAAATGAGAAAATTTTAACTAAAAAGAGTGGAGATGGACTGAGCATTTGTCATACACTCATGTGCCACGTAATGGCATCTCGGTCCACGAGGGCCGCATGTACGGTGGTGGAGCGGTAGGTTATACCATGCAGCCTAGTGTGTAATAGGCTGAACCGTCTAGGTTTGTGTAGGGTGTGCTCTGTGATGGTCATACCTTGAAGAACACCTAAGGAGGCATTTTTCGGAACATCCCTGCCGCTGGGCAGTGTGTGACTATACTTTTTTTTTTTCTTTATGCTATTTTGGTTTAGAAGGAAGCAGTTTTGAAGATGTTCTTATTATAAGACTGAGGATGAAAACAGGAAATACAGAATTGTATTTATGACAAAATAAAGGAAGAAAATTATCAAAATGATATATTAGTATTTTATTTAATTTATTAGTATTGAATTAATTTATTTAATAAGTTTAATTTGTTAGGAATTTATGATTTTAGGTAAAT